ATAGCTGGGGTAGTGTTTACAGCAAAACCTTGGGAAGCTTACATGGATAATGGCTAAAAAGCTCTGGATCTACGGTGGCCAAGACATGGAGACAACCAAAGTGTCCTTTGATAAAGGATTAGATAAAGAAGATGTGGTGCATGTATACTATGGAATACTACTCAGCCATAAGAAAAGATAAAATACGACCACTTATGACAACATGGATGGACCTTGAGAATATTATGCTCAGTGAAATAAGTCAGAAAAAGCTAAGAACCATATCATTTCACTCATGTGTGGGATAGAAAACTGAAACACATAAACACAGACAACAGTATGGTGGTTACCAGAGGGAAGAGAGTGGGTGGGGGTGGAGGTGGTTTAAAGGGTAAAGGAGGCCAAATATATGGTGATGGACGATGATTTGACTTTGGGTGGTGGGTACACAATGCAATACACAGATCACACACCATAAAAATGTACACTTGAAACCTATATGACCCTATTAACCTGTATCACCCCAATAAGTTTAATTAAAAAATGAAATAATTTAAATTCAAAAAATAAAACTCTCTCAAGGAAATTTTTACTTGTCTCAAACAAATCTTGAAGCTCTGTGTGTGTTTTTTTAATCCTCACCCGAGGATATTTTTTCCATTGATTTTTAGAGAGTGGAAGGGAGGGAGGAGGGGGAGATACACATCAACTGGTTGCTTCTGGCATGCACCCCTACCATGGCTGAGGAACCTGCAACCAATGTACGTGCCCTTGACCAGGAATCTAACTCTTGACCCTCTGGTCCATGGGCCAATGCTCTAACCACTGAGCAACTGACCAGTGGTCCAAATGCCGAGTCCTGTGCAGACAGGAGTAGGACTCACCACCTGTCCTGCTGGGTTATATAACAACAGCATTAGAGACTTTGTCTTCTCCCAGTTCAGGTTACATAATACTTGTCTTCCTTTGGCGATAATGGAGAATTCTCTAAATTGTTGAGAATTCTCAAGCCTGAACAAAAACGGTGGCTTAAATGGTCTCTCCTTGAGGAAATAAGTGAGCTGCTAGATGCTCTGATCCAGACAGCAGATGAGAAAAAGTGCTCAAGTCCTAACTTTTGAGGTGTTAGAGCAGATCTTAGCTCTCAACAAGCCCATTTGTTTTGTCTTGGTTTTCTCCCTCTTCAGTATTTTCTTAACCAAAAGAATACTCACGTACGTGTACTTTACTTTGTTGAATTAAAGAGAATTTGAAATAACTTGGCTAAAATAACAAGAACAACAGAAGAGAGGATTATAACACAAAAGAAATCCTAGCAGAGGCAGCAGCAGGTGGAGGTACTTGCTGGGCTCTACACTCTAACTGTGAGTTTAAATCTCAGCTCCTTCCCTTCCTAACTGTGTGACCCTTGTCCAGTTAATGAAAGTCTGGTTTCTTCACTTGCATAGTAATAATAATACTACTACTAATAAATAATAATAATAATTAACAATAATAGCAGCACCTTTTTCTTAGGGTTGTAGTAAGGATTAAATATGAAAGCACATGTAAAGAATTTAAAACAATGACTAACACACTAGGGGGTGGTTTCTGGTTTTAAAAGGTTTCATATATAATATCACTTTTCCTACCCAAATTCTCAGCAAATTACAAGGTAAACAAAAGAGTAAGAAAGAAAGAGACTAAAATAGCCTGTTTACTGATAAAGCCAATGCTGAATTACTTAGGGTTAGGGCAACCGTGGGCTACACCCCAGAATGAAGCTAATTCTAGTTCCAGACACCGTGGACCTCTGTAGGCCTCTCTCCAAAATGGGGCAGAGAGAGAGAGAGAAAGAGAGAGAGAGAGAGAGAGAGAGAGAGAGAGAGAGAGAGAGAGAGAGAGA